GTTCTGCCGCAGCACCAGCATGCATGTCAGGCTTCTCCCAGAGGCTCTGACCGTCCTCCTCGGTGCCTGAGAAACCCGAGCTCAGGTTTTCCAAGCCTCTGGAATCAAGGCAGTCCGCACACTCCAGAAAACGAAGAACACTCGCCTCCAAGGACGGCTGCTGGCCAAAGAGGCTGGATATTCGGTGCGTGATGAGGTCCAGGCTGTCCATGTGCGTGCTGCAGGAGTGCAGACCTTTCCCCGCGTGCAGGCACCACAGCAGCTCGCAGGAGAACCAGCTGGCTCGCAGGTAGTTGTACAGCTCCGGGCTGACCACGCGCTTCACCAGCTGGGACAGGACATCCAGACTTGCAGCCGAAGGGGAAAACACAGCCTTCTGCAAGGCCAGCATCAAGTTCTGCTTGAAGGAAGAGGAGATTTCTGCTTCCTTCACGTTCTTCTCGAGCAGCCGGACAGTGTGATAGACAGAAAGGAGCACCTGGGCAGAGGAAACAGCTCGTGGAGGATGGCTTTGTGAAAGAAGGCCACATCCACAAAAACAGCCTGGACCTTTTGCCACTCCGAGTTGAACTCCTTGAAGACTGTCAGCATTTTCCTGATGCCGTGTCCTGTCTCGTCCTTCAGCAGTGACAAGTGCACCACTTTCGCCACTCGCTCCTTACTCTCTACAAGGAAAGCATAGAGAACATGTCCCCCCTCGCCCAGCGCCCTATGCAGCAGGAGGCTCTCAGGCGAACTGCATGAACGAGCTCTTCATCTTGCTGGTCTGGAAGCTTAGTCTGTCCAGGCCGTGGTTGCTGTCTGCACTAATTGAGGCCAGCGAGCCCCTGTCCACCCTCAGGAAGGTTTTCATGACCTCAGCAACCCTGATGAGCGCTGAGGTCGAGGCATTTTCCTTCGCTGCCTCAGGGAGTGCGGGAGCCCTGTACAGAGCAGGCGCCCCGTCCACCAGTTGTCCCACGACCGCGTGCAAGTCCTCATCTGCCACAGCACCGCTGTCAGTCCCACCAGCCTGCTGCTGCTTACGCAGTTTTGTTGCGGGGCTGTCGTGTGCTGCGGTGTTTGCTGTTGCAGCAGTGGCTCTGGTCAGGGAAAATACCAGGTCCGCATGGACATGGTTGCTGTTCAGTTCACTGATCACAAGCTGGTCTATGTCCTCCTTATATTGCAACACAAAATAAGCCGGACACAAGCTGGGCTGCTGCTTTCTCTTCTTGCTGTATTTTTGGGTCCGGGCACAACCAAACTTCACCTGCATGAACCTGCAAACGTTGAAAAAGCATTAATGGGGGAAGCAATGGTAGTGTAGGCTGCAAGCATTTAGTTTTGACTTTTCTTGCATGTCAACTCTATATTCAATTAGCAAGCACAAGAAAACCCACATATGCCAGTCAGACGTGCACGCTGGCTTTCTGCTCAGTGAAGCCTGGGGCAAGGAAGCTCAGACACAGGAGAAATAAAGGAACTGAGAGTTACAAAAGCCACAACCAGACACTACAAAGCAGTCCCAGCTCTTGTTCCCAACAGCGCCTCTGTTTCTGCCCTCCAGAAACAGCAAAGCCATGAACGATAATTTAATACCTGCGTGTTTGTGTCTTACTCTCTTGAAGTACATATCATTTCTGCAACTCCTCTGCATCTGGAGGAGCAGGCTAGAACATAGCGAGAAAGACTTCAAGGCATGATGTTAAATTATATTTTAAGAAGGCAAGGGGAGCAGTTGTGTAACTGGAGAATGACCTTGCAGCCTTTGCACACACGAGCAGATCCACCAACTTGGGACAGAAATGAGATGACGTCATGGCATCACTAGACCCATTCGGATAAGCAAAGGCTGCAGAATCGAGTACTGCAGGAGGGAAACTTGACAACACCTTTCCATTGCAGCAAGGTAAAGGCAGCTAGGGAATGCTAACAGATGCCAATATTTAGTGTCCTGCTACTTGAGTGGAAAACGTCAGGAGTTATAGTTTGCCAGCAATTTCAAAGATCAAAGCTACAGGTTTTGCTAGAAGAGGCAGAGAGAATTGTCGACCCAAAAGGCAGAGTAAAACAGAGCCAAGCAGCAGACACAGGACAGTGGAGTGCTAGCTGGGGAATGAGGGACACAGCGAGGGGGAGACAAGAGCGACACGAGAACAATCGAGACTATGAAAAGGGCAAGTGTGCGACAGAACCCACAGCGTTCTTCCCTACAGGCGTATGCACTGTCAGGATCCACTCTTCCGAAGTCAAAACCAGCCCGGTTACAAAACCATTCGACCAGGTACAGACAAGAGCCCGCGCCCTGCGGCAGCGCGCTGGCTCGGCGTTGGGAGCTGGCTGACGGCCCTGCCTGCGGCGCTCCG